AATATATTTATAAAAATATATTTTTAACATTTAAATAAACATATCAAGTTTTTATGATGCAATATGCTCAACATATAACATTCATGGGATATAACATACTCATTAGTCAAAAATATAACATCTAGTGCAAATCAGTATTAAAAAATCTCAATTTCGTCACTCATTAAAAAATATATATACATATATACATGTATTCAGGGTAACCGGCGTTCGGGACGGACCGAACGCCCGAACCCGAACGCCAGAACGTATGGGACCCCTTGGGGATGCGTTCATCCCTTTGGGCCGAACACGGACTAAAAAAAAAAAAAAAAAAAAAAAAAACAATTTATCAAAATAATATGAAAAAATATATGTTATGGAAAAAAATAAATTAAACAAGATTTGCCTGAGCATTACGTCCGAATTACTTACCAAATTTGAAATAAAAATAAAATACACAGAACAAATACTAATAATAAAAATAAATAAAAATAAAAGAAAATTAAATTTAATGAGTGCGCGAGCATATTTTCGACACCGCCATCTTTGGCGATTTTTTATTGTTTTTTGGCATTGCTAAAATGCTCAGAAAATTTACAGATGTGTACTTCACATAATACAAAATTCACGAAAAAAAATTCAAAAAATAATAAAATTGTTTAGACCCCGAACTAAAGTGAAAACAAAAAATAAAAAGTGAAAAAAAACGTGGGCGAGCACGTTTTGGCACCGCCATCTTTGGCGATTTTTAATTCTTATTTGGCTAAACCAAATGACTTGAAAATTTATAGGCATGTACCTCACGTCATAGAGAACTCATAAAAAAAATTCAGAAAAAAAATAAAAAAATTAGGCCCCGAAATAATTTTTGGCGGGGGCCGAACGCCATCGGGTTCGGACCCCGTACGGGACCTCGAACGCCCGAACGTACGGAGGCCCCCGGGCGGACCTCCATGTATGTATCATATTAGGGATGCTCTCACATGAGGACTTGTATGGAATCATAAACAATCAGTGTACTTACCGCCATAGTATATATAATTTTAAAAATATATACATTTGTTTTTAAGTTGGTTTCAACAACTTTGTTGCAAACACGAAAATTGTTATTCAAAAGGATTCACAAATGCATTTTATTGTGTGACGTGAGTGCATTTGATTATTTCAGGGAATTATCTCTCACCTCGCTATTACATAGTTCAAATATGAAATTGTGTATATTAATTGTAATCGTACTTGACAAAAAATATGTATAAATATAAGGATAATCATTGTACATCCTATTTGGTTTAAAATTAGAGAGCGAAAGCATAAAATAGATACATCGACAAAAAAAAATAGACAAAAAATAGTATGGGTATACATATAGCAAGATAAAAATAAAAAATATGATTTATCCCCGATTTTTTTTTATATAAATATTTTTTCCATTTTTTAATAGTTTTATTACAAAGATGAACACTCAAAAATTTATTACCCTGAAATTTTTGAAGTTATTTTGTCAAATATTTAAAACAAAAATTATCAAATGAGATATATTATTTTTTCCTGGGTTTAGGCTTTGCCGCCGTAAGTGAAATGCTTGCACTGTTTCATTTTTTAATGAGGATATGTAACCAGAAATGTCATAATACACTTTGATAGATCCTGTACCACAAAAATGCTTCATGCAACTATCAAAAACCCTCATAAAAAATGTATATTTTTTTCATTACTACGTCAGTCATTCTGAGAGCCGGTAAACCGAATAACCAAAAAAATTATCACGAGTGTATAACGCATTTGTGGGTTGTGAATGAAAGTTCCATTATACATAGAGTTCAACAAATTTATGATCGATGTTCCCTTCTCCGCTTCAATACAACTTCAATAAAGATTTTAAGTCTCATTGTTTGCCTTATCATATTATTTATCTTTGTTTAATTTTTGTATTTCTTTTTTATAATTTACTAAAAATGTTTCATATTTTTCATCAATATATTTGGTCAGTTGATATGATCCCCATACCGTTTTGCTTAACACTTGACTCAATAAGCTTATCATCTTTAGAGTTGTTACCGATAAAGACCCTTTATGTTGGTTATGATGAAACTTAATTCATAAAACGATAGAAATAAAAATGTTTTAAACGTCGATAATTAATATAATTCATCTCTTACCAACGTATTGCAACAAGGCAACATCATTTTGATGACTTTGAAAAACTAACATATGAATTATGGTTTGATTGTCATATCAGGGAAATAAGAAGGTGCAACTCCAATAATAATAAAAAAAATCTTTTATATCCGACCACTTTCAAAAATGTATAAAGAGAGATGAAGGCAAATGGCATGATGGTGCACTTGGGATGAAGAAGCATTGATGCCTCTCTCTCTCCTGGTCATTCTAATCATGTATAAGGTGAGTATTGAGTTGTCAATATGCCAACTGCAACCAATTAATCTTTTATTTCGCCCCTTCTCTCACCTTTTTCCACTTGTTCCTCCTTTTCGTTCTTCCTTTTTTTTTTTTTGCTTTTTTCATCTCCCTGTTGCAGAACCTCTTTCTCTTTCGCTCTCCCTCTCTCTCTCTCTCTCTTATTCAATACAGTTTTTGAATGACAAATTATATTTCTTCATTCATCTTGTTGTTTCTATTAAAATACTTCTTGTTGAAACCTCTCATTCTCATTTTCATAAAATAGACAGAGGGAGAGAGAAAGATTAGTGGTAAGGGAGGGTTGAGTGACCCATCAATTTTTACACGCAAATTTATCTTTCACTTTCCTATTGTTTTTTTTTTTTTTTTTTCCTCACAGGTAGACATGTTATCCAATAAAAGTGTAAGTGCGTAAAAGAGAAGAAAAAAAACTTCAAACGAACGATTGAACTTCAATTACTTCACCTTACAAGGTGTGCGTCAAAGCATACACCCAGAAAGAGAGAGGAAAAAAAAAAAAAAAAAAAAAATGATAAGATTTGCAAAAAGTGGTCAAACCTCCACTTACCTGTGTGATGTGCGCCTTTGCGGAAAGTAAGTTATTGAATTCGTTATGGGCAGATAGACGACTCGTACAGGGAAATCGGTTTATGGATGATTTATTTCTTGCAACTTGGTATAACATGTTATCCAATAAAAGTGTAAGTGAGTAAAAGAGAAGAAAAAAAACTTCAAACGAACGTTTGAACTTCAATTACTTCACCTTACAAGGTGTGCGTCAAAGCATACACCCAGAAAGAGAGAGAAAAAAAAAAAAATTGATAAGATTTGCAAAAAGTGGTCAAACCTCCACTTACCTGTGTGATGTGCGCCTTTGCGGAAAGTAAGTTACTGAATTCGTTATGGGCAGATAGACGACTCGTACAGGGAAATCGGATTATGGATGATTTATTTCTTGCAACTTGGTATGATAAGACGAATGATGGGGAAAAAAAAAAGGCGGAGGACAAATTGGAGGGGATAAGCCGATATTACCACAAGGCACTAACAGTGGAACGGACAGACAGGGGGGATGGAATTGCAACCTTTCTAGAGTTAAATCTAATCACGACAGATCTGCCGGCATGGGTCTATATGACGCATAGGTTCAAAAATATCGAAAGAATCTGGGGCAAAGAGCCCAGACATTTCAAAACTCTTAAAATTTTTCATTCCTACGGGGGGAAAAAAATTGAAGTTGGCTGTGATCACAAGTACGATTTGGAGAATCTGGCATAATACGAACACAAAGGCTACAACGTGGATCAGTCTGGTATCCTTCGGCAGGGACATTGGGAAATTGGGGCACCTATAGGAAGCCTTTCTGACTGGGGTAAAAAACGTTGGGACGAGAGTGAGAGGATTCTAGGAGGAGGTGACAATCCAACTAAGAAGGATGCTCTGCGGGTAACAGGTGACGAAATGGTAACTGGACTGACTGCAGTCAGAACTGACTACTGAACATAAGATGGAAGAAGCAGCACCAACGGCAAGCCGCGTCACGGCAGAGGTAAGGGAATTGCTTTGGAGGGAAATGTTTTTGTGACAATTCTGGTGGCGTCGCTATCTGATGGTAAGTTTTCTCTGTTGAAGAGAAAAGGAGGCTGGTAAAATCGAAAAATGGGGTATTGCCTCGTTTTCTGAATTTACCAAGGCTCTAAAGATTTTCCAAATAGACGTAGCCGAAATACTCTTAATTATAAAATTATTAAATTATATTCAAAAAAAAATTTTCGAATGGTGCCGTCGGGTGGCGGTGAAAGCAACAAGGTTTGAAGTTCGCAAGACCCGAGGAAGTAGGCAAAGGATAGAAGGTATAAATTAGATCTAAGCGTGGTGGCGCTGCAGTACCTGAGTAGTATTGGGCAGAAGGGTGGTAACGTTGTTTTTAAGCGTAGAGGTATAAAGTCATGTACTGCGAGAGTAACGCCCAATAATTTTTATGTGAATATGTTGTGTTTCCATACACGAATAACTGATTGATCGACCTTACGCCATTGCTTGGGAACGATTGGTTAGTGTCGTGGAGACTTCGTTTCCATGTGCGTTCTTCTTTTCTTTCATATAAATTCATATAATTCATACAATTCATATAACTCGTATTTATATGAGTCTTGGCAAGCTGTAGGAAGTACTTTCCTGTGAATGTGATTGGTGGTTATTGGTTGTTCGGGGACGATGCATTAAGTTCCATTCACGAAGACGAAGGCGGGATGCGCTTCGCCATCGAGGCGATCTTCGAAACTGTTATCACGATCCTGCGTGCGTTGAAGGTCATCTTCAAGATCACGATACCGATCAGTAAGAGGGAGGTGTAGAGAAGTGAATAGGAGTGGTTCATGTACGCGAGAGGCAGGGGGAGAGGGAGAAGACGAGGGTCTTAGTCGGGGTGCGGCTGATACTGGATGGAGTAGCAAGCACCATCGTACAGTCAAGCACAGCCACCACCTGTCCCTCCACCTCCTCCCCCACCCAGCTATCGGCCAATGTCAGGCTTCTACCAACAACCGACGCATTGGGGACCACCACCTCCACAGTGGGGTTAGCCACAACAGCAGGCGCAACTCGAATATGGTGGCAATGGAGGTAATAGCAATAACTACGGGAGGGGTCACAACCCAAATCGGGCGTTCTTCACAAGGGAGCACACGAAGCTACTGAACAAGATCAAATTCCAGGAAGCGGTGGCGGAAGCGACGAAGAAGCAAGTGGAGGTCAAGGAAGTTGAAGTCACTCAGCCAAAGAAAATCGAGACAAAGAAGGAGGAAGTAAAGAAGCAACCTGCGACAACCAGGGAGGATGAGATGAAAAGATGGATGACTGCTACATTCGGCAGTTCGTTGCGAGCCTTGACGGAGAAGGTAGACAAGGTGGATGATAAGTCGAAGATGGCGGAAAAAGAACGGGAGGAACTTCGACTATTGCGAGCGGAGAAGGAGCTACGCGAACTAAAGGAGGGATCGAGTTCGGAGAAACGGAAGAGCCTGAGGGATGGGATAGCCCCAAGCACCTCACCACGAGCCGGGCGGGTGAAAACAAAATCGACGGTCAAAGCTCGGAGTCGACCACAGAACGGGGTGCTCATCATGTCGGACGATGACGAGGCAGGGATCAGCAGGTGCAGGGGGAACCTGGGGAAGAAATTTGATGAAGCTGGGGCTTCAAGATCGGCATCCACGTCGACGGAGATGGGGGAAATAAAGGATCTACTGAAGAGCCTCGTCGAGGCGCTGCCTAAGCTGGTCGGGGCACAAGATCGCTGGAAGGCCGTCGTAACTGAAGAGATAAACGAAGACGACAACGAGAAGATGGAAGCGGAGCAATCAGGGGTGGAGGAAGAAGAAGCGGTGGAGGAGAAGGATGAACTCGACCTAGTGGCATACATGAGAAATCGAGTGGAAAGCTACGAAACTATGCACTACCTGCATATCCGTACGCTGTGCGCAGAGAAAGGGATATCATACATTAGGAAGGATCTGGGGGTGATGGAGCTAGCGAGACTAGGCCTAGAGGATTATATGAAGTCCCTACGGGAGATGGAAGAAAATGGGGTCACTGTCTCAGAGCCTGTAGAGGAGGACGATAGAGAGGACGAGGTCGAAAATGTACAGAAAAACTAAGATCCTACTCGAAGCGGACAATGCTGAGGTTGTTCACGAAGACAGGGATACTTATGGAGCAGGGGTAGATTGAAAAGTACTGTGTAATCGCATCCAATGTGGAATTGTGCTATATGGTTGTATGTAGGGTTACTGGAAATGGGGGAGGAATTACCTACATTTTTTGAAAAAGATGAATAAGGGGGAAAGGGAGTCAGTCTTTGATGAAGATGCCTCGTCATGTGTTTATGTGATTTTTTTGCCAAAATGTAAACTGCTCTATGTGGGTATGACTAACTGGAGGGAGTATAATTATGTCAGTAAGACTAACTGGAAGCAGAAAGTTCATATTTTACTCAGGAAATTTGGTATCGACAACTACGTTGCTCTTCCTATATGGTGTTGGGGGGGCTGAGGAGATAACATCTATGGAAAAAGATAGCATTAAAAGACTGAGCCGTGCATTGAATGGAAAATGCAAGAAGAAACAAAAATCATAGAGGAGAAACAGAAAGGGGAAATGTGAAAATAGACCGAAGACTCTGATGCGATATCCAAGACCCCTTCTGTTCTCATGTGAATTCGTTCAACAAGAGAAACGACCGGACTTGCGCAAACTCGTTAGAGACATTCAGAAGAAGGAAGGAAAACAAGTGGTTATAACCAATACAACCGGTAGTAAGTGGTTTAAGACCTGGAAACTGGTGCGACTGGTTTATGGTTTCAGTCGGATTGAGAAAGGAGGAAAAAAGTATCTGCTTAAGGATGCAAAAATGGTCATTGAGAGGGGGGGTGAATGGATGCTTTTGAACATAATTAGGATCACGAGGAAGGCGGAGATGGTGAAAGCGAAAGTAATTGGACTATTAAGAGCACATTGGAAAATGACGGAACTGTTTAAGAAGTCACTAGACGAGCTGTTAGAGATGAATGGGGTTGTACATACTCTAAGAGAAAGGAGGGGAAAACAGATTGTAAGGGGCATTATTACAAGATGCATGAAGAAGAAGTTTGGGATAAATCTCAAGGCAATTGTCATGATTAAGATACCACTTAATCCGGGTATCAGCAAGAAAAATGTGCGCCATGGGATGAAGTATTAGTTAAGGGATAAGATTCGTTGTACTGTGCTGGGTAACCTGATGGTGCAGAGAATGAGGGTGGTTTGGGAAAACACCCAGAGTGTTGCCAACATTTTGCACAATCAGAAGCATTTTGCATGTAGGGTTATGACCTGCACATGTGACGGCTTCCTACTTCCCAAAATTAATAGGCATGTCCAGGTTAGACTTAGTGAGGTTGACGGGATCAACAACTTTCTGCACAACTCGAAGAACACTCCTATTCCAGGCGGCTTCAACAGTATGCAGGAGATCAACAAAGCCTGCAATGAAGGGATCAAAATGTTAAAAAATATGGGATTGATAGGAGCGAGGGATACATTGAGAATGCGGTGTCGCGCGCGGCGGTCCCACACCCAGACGCAAAGTAATTCTTGTGTTGGACCTCACGGTCGTATCACGCAGGAGTCTTTTGTTACCTTAACGAAACACCACTCCGACCGTGCACGCGTGCTATACCTCTCGCGAATCCCTACGACAGGTTAGAGATCCCGCGAGGTACAACTTACCTCCACCCGCCGGATCTGTCACTATCCCTTAGGTGGGCGTATCCCTGCTGAGCTACTGACCCACGTGCGAAGGCTTTTACATGCAATCGAAGAGGTAGGCCAACCGAGGGCATTTTCTCGATCGCCGTAGCGGTAGAACGCCTTAAGACTGACCCGTATATCGTGCCCCGGGGTGCTAACTCCCTCGGACCGACTTTCTTATCAAGTTGACTTTCCGGACAGTCTTCCACGCCTAGCTAAATATGATAACGAATCTATGTTCCTTTGTTGACCATACGTGACAATGCCAAAGTCAAAACCCCTTGGTAATCTCCCACCTTCTCAAGATATCAACATAATCCTAGACAATAACCTTCCTAAGCTCGGACCAGAGTATGAACTTGTTCATAGACATATATAAGTATATATGTATATCAGGGGAGCGAATGAGCGGTGGACCTCACTTTCACAATCGTACTGCCCTGTGTCCGAATCCAGTTGATCTCAAAAGTTCGGACAGACAGTTCATTGCCCAACACCTGTGCAGATGCAAGAAAATACATACACGCATACAAATGCAAACACAGAATGTGCTACAAGCGTCAACCTTTAACCCATTCACAGCTAGTCCCTCACTCCCCAAAACCTTGAAAAACAACGCTCCTTCCTACTCCTGACTCCTTTTACCCAGCCATTCACTTTTTCAAAGACCTTCGAGAGTAACTTGGATAATTCAGGCTTAGATACAAGGGAAAATTTGTCCGTTCTTTTTTCTTGGTTTTGTCTTAGGTGTGGGTATCAAGCCATATGGAAGTTGAGTCGGAAATCTACCATTCTGTTATCTAATGATAACAAAATTGCAGTTCCTTACGGTTCTCTTCCGCAATGAACAAGTTCATTCCCAACTCCTCCGTCTCAGTGATCTTACATAAGTCTTTTTTAAAGATTGTTTATCAAAGTCCCGTTCTTGGTTCTTTTCCTGGCAAGCACAAGCGGTATCGTCATTTCATCTTAGAGAGAAGTCACAAGATAGAAATAAAAACAGAAGTTCCAAGATAGAGTGATAAGTCTCTCAGGGCCAAAATCTCACTATCCTCTCCTCAATAGAATCAAAAGTAGTCTGTTAGTAATTGATTGATCCAATTTTGATCAGAAGGTTAGTAGTAATATAGTAGATTGCTCGGGATCTTCCCATTGTCTGTTTGTGATAGCGCAGACCTCGAGGGTCTTACTTCTACTGTCCTGCATTAGAACAAGGCCAAATGGTAATAAAGCGGGTTTCTCGAAGCCTCGCTCCTCTTACTACCACTTCCTTTGTCCATGCGGTTGGACAATAGGGCGGGCAGGCATCTCCGTGCCTTGCTCCTCCTACTGCTGTTTCGAATTGAAACACCGTTGACGGGTAATAAGGCAGGCTTCTCAGAGCCTTGCTACTCTTATCACCCTGTTACTGAGATCATTGCGATACGGCAGACTTCTCGGAGCCTTGCTACTCTTATCACCTTGTTAAAGACATCATTGTGATAAGGCAGGCTTTCTCGGAGCCTTGCTACTCTTATCACATCTTTGTTAGTGACAACCTCGTGATAAGGCAAGCTTCTCGGAACCTTGGTACTCTTATCACCTTGTTAGAGACAATGTTGTGATAAGGCAGACTTCTCGGAACCTTGTTACTTTTATCATCTTGTTAGAGACAACGTTGTAACAAGGCAGGCTTCTTGGAGGCTTTCTACTCTTATCACCTTGTTAGAGATATCATTGTGATAAGACAGGCTTATCGGAGCCTTGCTACTCTTACCACCTTGTTAGAGACATCACCTCGTGCTAAGGCAGGTTTCTCGGAGCCTTGCTACTCTTATCACCTTGTTAGAGACATCATTGTGATAATGCAGGCCTTCTCGGAGCCTTGCTACTCTTATCACTTGTTAGTGACATCATTGTGATAAGACAAGCTTCTCGGAGCCTTGCTACTCTTATCACCCTCGCGCCACTTTTGCGACGACTCGGCCGTTGCTTCTGATGTCACTTGAGCCCTGGGCCAATCGGAAGCCTTTAAGACTATGCGGATAGGTCATACGAGACTTGTACCCCATGCCTTAAACTCGTCCGCCTGATTCTCGGGCCGTGTTAGCTTGGGGTTTTGAAAGAATGTAGACATAGTCGATCATAGCATGCACAAGTCTTCAATCCACTGCGAACCCCCTCCCCTCTCATGGGTTAGGTGGTTTATTAAGCAAGGGAAGAATGCACGAAGTCAATCCTCTTGCGGCCACATCCCTAAAAAAAAAACCATTCACATAGCGAGACAGTTACTCGGAACTTCTCGTTCTCGATATGTCTTTCAAAAACAGTAAGTCACACCCAACAAAATCTCTTTCATGCGATAGATCTTCTTCATGCTTTCCTCTTCCTTACACGAGCATTTTCTCTTTCCCTTATCTTCAGGTTTCGTCCCAAAGAACCCCTGACTCAAAATTACTCTCGTTATTAATACAGTCATAGGTAGTTACCTGAGGGTTAGAAGTTTAGGGTTTAGGGTTTAGGTTGGAGCATGTGTACCTTGTCGTTCTCTGCCTCCAGAGTTCCGCCTGAACTCCGGCAGAGCTCCAGCAATCGCCCTGTTGTTTGGGATATGTCTAGGGCTGACCAAATAAAAACTTGGTTGAGGATTTAGTTCTAGCAAGCGAACGAGGATATCATTTTCTCAGTCATTGTTTGACAGATTGGTGTGCGAGGAGAGACAGATATAGGAAAGGCGGAGGAGGATGAGGGAGGTAGAATCCGACATTCTCGACTACTATCCTCCCCTCTCCACTGCCTCGCGCCCTTTCCACCTCCGACCCCTGCCTTAGCACGTAATGTCATATGATAATAATAATAATAATAATAGTAACAATAACAATAATAATAATGATAATCATAATAATAATAATAATAATAATAATAATAATAATAATAATGATAATATTGTAAGGAAACGGGAAATGACAGAAAACTGATTGTAGGTTGCGAAATCACCTCGAAAGCCACAAGGTCCTACTTTGTCCGGAGAGCAAAATGCATTGATACATCATTAATGAAAACGTACTGAGCTTGAGCGTCAATGAGTATTTTGTTCTTATCATTACCAACGTAAATACTCAGAGTCTTTCCCCTACTTGCGCTCAGTACCCAGACTATAATCACACAGCTTCTAACAGCCCATGAAATGACAATGCATCCAGTAAAACCAGCAACAGAATAAGAGCATATGAAGATGTTGACCATTATAGACCATCGTCAGGACCAGGTATGTACCCTCACTTCCTTCCTCTTTCCCCACCTTCTCATTCACATCCACAAACTTATGTGAGTTTTCTACTGTGAGAACGGTTTCACCATTCGGTCAGTGGTCCAACAGATCTTCATGGTTTGCCCTCAACCCTGAATATTGCCTCACGTGGGTTCACTTGAGTTCGATCACATATCTTGCACCCCAGAGTATCACTTTTGGTTATCCGTACACAACATGGTTGTATAGATTTGAACTGTAGGTCCGTAGGGAAGCTGTTATCAGTAGGCCCTCTGCAAGCAGTCTGTAGCAGAATCCGCGAAGGGCAGTCCTAGCACACACAGCAAAAGACTGTCCTTGTCCTTCCTAGTTATATAAGTGGTTCCCAACCCCGTTGTCTACCAAGCCTGGTCAGTAGTGTAAAGCGGGACTGCGCACCCTTCTTGGGCTTGGGCTGACATCGATGAATCAAGCCAAGCCCAAGTATAAATAAAGAAACAGTAGTGAGCTACTCACGGATTCCGTTGCTGAGTATGCGGAAGTGTTGTCGCTGTTGCCTGTGCTACGGAGGCCCGCAGGTTGCCCAAAGACAGTGGGCTGCGTCATAGACTAGCAACTAACAACGG